AGATGTCATGTGGACGCTGGGAACTGAATCTGGGTCCTCTGCAAGAGTAGCCAGTGCTCTTAACTGCTGAGTCATCGCTCTAGTCCCAAGAAAAACAATTTTAAACTTCCTTAAAATACATTGAATTAAATAGTTATGAAAACATATAAAACTGACAAGACTGGGAGGCAGAGGCAGGTAAATCTCTGTGAGTTTGAGGTCAGCCTGGTCTACACTGCCAGTTCCAGGCCAGCTGGGGCTATAGAGAGACCCTGTCTCACAAAGACCAAAATAAATAGTAAATAAATAACTCAGATGGTCTCTCCCAACAGCCCCAGACTTAGTGTCTATAATAAAGATTTTACTTTTGAGGGAAGCCAAAGGTGCCCTGTGGGTACATGTCAGATGTTTACCAAAGTGTCCACAGTTGGAAAAGATGCTAGAATTTTTTTTTTTTTTTTGAGACAGGGTTTCACTAGCCTGGAACTCCCTATGTAGGTAGACCAGGTTGGCCTTGAATTCATAGACAGATGCCTGCCTCTGCCTCCTGAGTGCTGGGATTAAAGGTATGTATCACCATTCTTTTTTATTTTTTATATGGTGCTTGGGAGTTAAACCCAGGACTTCAGACATGCTAGACAAGAACTCTACCACCTGAGCTACCTCCCCTACCTCAATTTTAAAACTCTGAGTTTAGGGGATGGCGAGATGGCTTAGCAGTTAAGAGCACTGACTGCTCTTGCAGAGGACCCAGGTTCAATTCCCAGCACCCACATGGTGGCTACAAACCATCCTTAATTCCAGTTCCAGGGGAATCCAAAGCTCTCTTCTGACCTCTGTGGCATTGCATGATATGGGTGCACTCACATACATGCAGGCAATACATTCATACACATAAAAGAAAAATAATAAATTAAAAAAAAAACTTTGAGTTTCTAGGACTGGAGAGATGGCTTAGAGCTTATGAGCATGTATTGCTCTTACAGAGGACCTGAAATCAGTTCCCAGTATCCATGTCGGGCTGAATCCAATAATCCTGGCCACTAGAAGGCACCTGAACTCCTGTACACAGACATACACATAATTAAAAATGAAATAAAGCTTTAAAAAACTTTGAATTTTTTTTGATACAAAACTATGAGACAAACAATATACTCAGTTGTCATTTTTTCAAATCTTCCCACATATACTAAAAATAAAACACATATACTAATACACAGTGCTGTTATCCAAAGCAAATGCTTTTCAAGCACTTGTGTGGAAGAAAGGATAAAAGGTGAGGTAGACAAAGTGAGACAGTCTTTAGATTTAAGAAACTGTAGCCAGGCATGGTAGCACATGCCCTCAACCCCAACACTTGTGAGGTGAAGGTAGGAGGATCATGAATTGGAAGTTACACAATGAGATCCTACCTAAAAATAAAACACTCAAGCTCATAGGTCTGGTGAGATTTGACAGTGTCACAGAAGACAGTGAAAAATGCCACAGTCAAGTGTGGAACCTAAGATTTAAGCTGGGTGGTAAAGGATCATGTCTATGTTAAAACAAACGGAACATAAAGAACTCCCATTATTTCAAGGCCTGACAAAGGGTGAACAGCCAAGTACATGGCCTTTCGTTTAACAAAATACCTTATTGGATTTTGGGATAGATGCTTTGCAAAGACAGGATCCTTGCCTTGCATGGTTCCAAGGAGGCATGGGGTCTGTGTGATTGGCACCCCTTTGAGCAACATTCATGTTGTATTCTTTGTAGCTAGTACCCCCTGGAATTGTGCAACCTGGTTATTAAGTCAATAAAGATGGCCTGGAGTCTGGCCTAAGATAAGGATGGAGAACTAAGTCCTTCTACATAATAAAGTAACAGGAATTTTCAGTCTTTCTTGGTCAGTGGAGGCAGGTGGGTGGAAAGGTGTTTGGAATGAAAAGAAGAAAAAGGTTTGGAGAAAAAGTAATTTTAGGATGAGGGTGGGCCAGCATTTGGTAACAACCTGGAGTCTAAGAAATTCCTATACTTTTAATTAACATTTTTTTGGTGGGGGGAGGGCAGGGTACTGGAGATAGGGCCTAGGAGCTTGGCTATGTTAAGGACACACTTTATCACTGAGCTATATAGCCCAGCTCCTTGATTTTTAGACAGAGGCTCACCATATAGTCCAGGCTGGCCTCAACCTTCTGACTGCCTCCATCTCCTAAAGACTGTGATTACAAACATGGGTGTCCCACTCCTTCCTATATACTTTTTAAAAGACATGCATAAAAACCGCTATCATCTTCTCTGACCTTTAGGAAACACTGGCAAATGAAACAACTTTTGTGGGACACTCTTCTATGTGAATCAGGAAATAACTAGCAAAGATTTCAATGCCCAGGCCCATGGAGCAATGCCTGCCTAAAAGTACAATACCATAACTTGCCTTTTACTGTTTTTCTTCAAAGAGCTGAAAGCACTTTTATGTCCTCATTTATTGTGACATTCTTGTGTGGGAAGGGCAGATTTACGATAACATTATTTATAGATGGAGAAATTGAAAATAGAGATTAAATCGCTTACTCAATGCTGCATAGCTGGGGTGGCAGAGCCACTGGAATTTGGTTCTCCAGGCTCTAGCCACAAAGTGGAAAAAGCATGAGTTTTGGAATTAGAGGGATCTTTGAACAATCCTGTTTCTGCCCCTTAACAAGAATATGGCCTTCAGTCAGTTACTTCACCTAAGTCTCAGCTATTCTCATTTGTAAAAGTAAGACCATAAAACCTCATAGCACAGTGAAGATTAATTTAGAAAATACATGTAAATCCTTGGCACAGAGCCATTCTCAAGTAAGATATGTTCCCGAATCCAGTATTATCTGGTTAACTTTCAGAACAAACTTAAAGTAATCAAAAAGGATCCTCTATTAAAACTCACTTTTCCTCTATCCTCATCTCTCATGGGGAGCAAAACATGAATAAAAATGCTCCAAAATGTCATTTAAGTAATGAGAAGAATGTTTGCTGGGCTGTACTCTGTGGCACCTACCTCCAATGTGAAGACTGACTTCAATCCTCAGCACTGTAAAACAAAAACTTACACCCCTTCAAACAACAACAAATCGTATGCTAGAGATTTACCACAGTTAGAAAAAAAAAAAAACATGTGGAAGATAAGCTATTAGAATGCTGTGGTTCTCCAATTTAAGAGGTTATCAGTATCCTTGGAGGTGTGTGGGGGGATGGGTATTAAAACACTGAGTGTTTGGTTTTACACCAGAGTTTCTGGTTCACAAAGTCTGGGGCGGGGCCTAGTAATTTGTATCTGTAACAAGTTCCCAGGAGATGCTGAGCTGCTAGTGCAGGGACACACCTTGAGAAGCACTAGCCTTGGTAAGTGAAAAGTAGGGGATGGGACTCAGCAATTTGTTTTACAAGCCCTCCAGGTAATTGTGATGCACTTTCAGCTTGAGAACTGCAGGCAAAGTGGCGAAAAGCATCTGAGAAAACAGATTCACTTTCAAATCCTGGCCACATCACTTACCAGTTAGATGAGAGTCTGTGACCGAGGATTCCTCTCAGGAGGTCTCCATACCTTGGGTGTGCATGTGGGGTGGCGGGTGGGGATGGTCGGGGCGACAGAGTGCCTTAGTAAGCTTAGCCTGTACAAGTTTTGCTTCATTCTACTACTAGGTACGCTTGAACTGGGTATTATGGAAGTCTTTACAAATATTTCTGCAATCACATAAAACATAAAGCAATGCTTTAAATAAGACAATAGGCATGGGAATGTTTGCATCTTAAATATCTAATAAGGGGTTTTCAAGTATTTCCATTTACCAAGGCTTTCTTGAAGCAGAATGTTTGAAGACATTCTTTTTGTTTAGTATTTGTTTAGAAGACACTAGGCATGCTAAGAGGCTTCTTTCTTTCTCCTTTTTGGTCTTGCTAGGTAGTCCTGGATGGACTGCTTGGAGCTCACTGTATAGCCTAGGCTGGCCCCAAACTCCAGAATCCTCCTCCCTCAGTCTTTGGAGAGCTGCGATTATAGGCACACCTACCATGCCAGGCTTGAGGTTTATTTTTTCTTTTTCTTTTTTATTTCCTGTAGGATCTGGCTTCAGACACAAAATCTACCTTTAATATTTGATACTTTTTCTGATTTGGTAGCTGGGATCTTTTTTAGTCTTCTTTCCTTACCTGACATCTGACCCTGTGGGTTCTCATACTGTCGTTGCTTAGACCTCCAGAAATATTCAGGCCTTTTCTGTTGCCTGTCGCTTAGTGAGGTATTATTGTGGACTTAACCCAGCGCTAGCCACTCTGAAATGTTTACTCTGCATTATATCATCATTTTAATTTCTACAATCCAGAGGTTTGCACACACACACAGAGGACACTGAGGTTTAAAGAGGTAAAAAGTAAAATAACAGGAAACAGATACTAAAATTCCAGACCCCCAGATTCAGCTCGGCCTTTGTTGAGGGTGCAAGAGAGGACTGGTAGATGGGACTATAATGTGGTTCCTGTCTTTAAAGAATTTAAAAAGTCTTGTCTAGGGCGGATGAGCGTTACAACACATACTATGTACAGTAAAATGAAGAGGCAACATTTGTGGTTAGGGTTTGGTACCTGACCTATTTCCTTCTCTGCAGGGTGTAGAGAACTGCACCAATCTCGAGGAGTTTGAAAGTTATTAAGAGTTAATGCACTCGACGCGGTTAATTCAGTGCCCACCATGTAGTAAGCATTCAATAAATGTCAACTATCATTTTTTGTTTGTGTTTTTCTTTATTGAGACAGGATCTCCTTGTAGCTCCAGCTGTCCTGGAATTCACTATGTAGACCAGGCTGGCCTCGAACTCACAAAGATCCGTCTGCCTCTGCCTCCGAAGTGCTGGGATTAAAGGCGTAGGCCACCACACCCGGCCACCTATCACTATTTTTAAACCAGACACACTGGCGGACAGTCGGCCAGCCGAGTTCATGCACTGCTCTCGGCTAAACTAGATTCTCCCAGCCTGTTTTCTCATCTATAAAATTGGGTGGCTGGAGGGGAACAATCCTAGGGGCAGTTAACACAAGGGGTGCCAGCGGTAGCCCCGGGGAGCCGCGGGACCGCAAGGGTTAGCGAGGAGCCCGGGGGCGGGTCTGCGGGAGCCGGGCGCACAGGGCCCGCCCCTCCCGGGAGGCCCTGGCAGCGCCAGCCCGGGAGCAGTTCCGGTGCCAAAGCCCGGCCCACCCCGGCTCCCCCGGAAGTGCTTGTCTAAGGTTCGGGCCGGAGAGAGGCCTTGTAGGCACAGCGGCCGAGGCTCCGTCGGCTCCGAGTAGGGGCTCGCGTCCCCGTCAGCGTGCGGAGCTCCGAGGCCGCCGCCCCGCGCCCTCGCAGCGCCGGCGCACAGAGTGAGTGGCCCGGGAAGCGGAGCGGGCCTGCGTCGGGCGGGCGTCCCGGGGCCCTCGCTGTCCGCCGCGGGCTCAGCTGTCCGGGTCCGGGGAAGGGGGTCGTCGAGCGCTGCGGCGCGCACCCGACCCTGAAAAAAAAAACTCCGGAGCCGGGATGGGCTGAGCCGTCCGCGCCGCGACCCCCTCGCCTCTGCCCCCGCGAGCTCGCCCGGCGCCTTCACTGCTTGGTTGTCGGTGGGACCCGCCGCTGGGAGCCTGGACGGCCAGGCTTCGCTGGATCCCAGCGCCCGACTTCCGTCGCGTCGCCTCTGGGGTCCATCGCCCCTGCGGGCTCAGTCCTTAGTTGGGTCCCAGGGGTGTAGCCTCCGCCGTCCTGGGGTGGGGCGCTCCCTGTGGATGCTGGCGGTCCTGTTTGAGGCTTTTTCATCCAGAGCAGTTTCAGGGTCGCTTGGGTTCCATTGCACCGGCCTTGGAACTCGGTCTGGATGCGCATCGTCACTGAGGCACTCGTGTTCCTCGACTTGAAAGCTTGCTGATAACCGTTGTTGAAGTCGCTTTTTATTTTTTTAAGCAAAGATTTGAGGAAAATCGTAGTTCAGATAAATTTCCTTGGTTTCTTGCTGACGTAAAAAATGGTGCTGTTCGCTAGTCAGCCTCCTGAGTTTTGCGCTCGCCCTCAGTCACAGTTGTGTTCAGTCAGGATAGCGCACGAGTTGACTGAAAAGGACTGGAGAATGCTATCCTTTCTCCCCTAGTTTTGTTTACTTTTATATTCTGAACTGTCATTTCTTGAGCTTTTTTTTTTTTTTTAAAGAAAAATTGTCGTGTTTCTCCCGAAACGTCCTTTATACATTTACAGCTGTTGTTGCAATGCGGAGGTTCCCACAGCTGGGCAGAGGTATTTAAACTTATGAAGTGTTTGCCTCGGTTAAAGTGAGAATTTCACAGAGAAGAAAATCGTGTAGGTAGTTCCTTTAGTAAACAGGAGTTTAAGTGATAAACTACTAGTGAAAGGTTTGTAGGAAATAATGGAAGTTTCCCCCCCACACACATTTATTGATTTAAATAATTATAATCAGAAATTCATTTACTGCAAATGACCGGTGTTGTTACAGTGTAAAGCATACACAAGCCATCTTCATGAAAAAAATCAGTGGCACTATCTTAAATTTACAATATGCTTATATTAGGATTTATTACTGTCCTCTCTCTTCTCTCTTCTCTCTCTCTCTCTCTCTCTCTCTCTCTCTCTCTGTCATTCTTTCTCTTCCCACTCATGAGTTAAGGGGAATAGACTGAGGCGACAAGTTCCATGAATTGCCTATGCAAAGGAAAATTACCTCATTAAAATAAATTCTCTGTGTGTGTGTGGGTGGGCGAATGTGGAGGTCAGAAGTCCATGTTGGGTGTCTTCCTAGATCGCTCTCTACTTTCTTTGGGACAACATCTCGCGTTCAGCCTGGAGCTTGCAGTTTCAAGATAGGCTAGCAAGCCCCAGGGATCCTCCTCTGCCTGCACCGCCTCCAGATACATGTTGCAGCCCCTGGCTTTTACATGGGTGCTGGGAATTCAGTTCAGGTCCTCATGCTTACACAGCAAAGCACTCCACCTGCTGAGCCATCTCCCCAGCTGAAAATTTATTTCAGAGTTGTTGATATTAAACAGGTAAAAAGGGATTCTTCTTTGAAAGTTCCTGTGGAAAAAAAAATTGAGGGAAGCTGCACAATTTTTAGATTTAGATAGAAGCAGTAGCCTCTTGCATATTTAAAGTACTTAATTATTCAGAGCATATGATTGAAAAATAAGAGTGTCTGGAATGTGAGTCAAGTTAGATGTGGATATGGATCTATACTCTGGATATGATGTGTTTGGAAGGGAAATACTGCAGGAGTTATAAAAGCAGAAAAGGAAATTGGTGAAGATCAGATACCATCAAGCACTGTAAATTTTAATTTTATTGCACAAGCCAATTCAAATGATACTGAGCATTTTCTGTGCATCAGGCTCTATTAGGCAACTATGTAGGAACAAATAAAGACATAGCCATTATAACTTAGGGTTTATGTTTTGACGATAATCTTCTAAGGTGTGTCTGAGTCATGAAGAGTTGAATTGTGTTGTCTAGGAATACTAAAAATTCTTTGAATTGTGACTTAATTTGGAGGTAGGTGTTGAGTGCTTATGAAAAGTACTGTGTCAGGCATTTTAAGTCACAAAGCTGAAGTCTGGTCTTTAGGGATTTGACTCCAGTAGGGGATACAAGATATTTGTACCAATGTTTATGGTATAAATAAATACCTGGCTGTATATGGTGGCACACCTGGGGAGGCAAAGAAGGCAGAGAGGCAAGATGATGGGTAATCTGCCAGCCTGGGCTACATTTATAGACCCTTTTCAAAAAGACCCCCTTCAAAAGATCCCTTCTTCCAAAAAGAAAAAAGAAAAAAAAGTATATGTAAATACGTGACCACATAGATTTATCTAAAGTTTGGGGTTGTACGAAAGGGAAAAATGTTTTTTTAGCTTAAGTAATCATGGAAAGCAGTAGAGAGATGATAACATAAGGATAGATTAATGCTGTTATTTATTAGGCATTTATTTAAGTACGCTAGTTGCTCTATGTACATTTCCTTTTAAATTTTATTTTTATGTCTATGTATATGTGCACCATGTGTGTGCAGTGCTCTAGGAATGCTAGAAGAGGGCATCCCAATTCCCTGGAATTGGAGTTAATAGGCAGTAGTGAGCTGCCTAGTATGGGTGCTGGGACCTAATTCAGATCCTGTGTAAGAGCAAGTACTCTTCACCCCTGAGACATCTCTCCAGACCTGTGTACATTTTCTGTACTTCACAACAACATATAAGCATCTCTTTTTTTTTCTTTTATATTATATGTGTGTGTGTGTGTGTATGCAGGTAGGCAATTGTGAACTGCCATGTGGGTACTGGGAACTGAACCTGGGTCCTCTGTAAGAACAGCTAGTGCTCTTAACTGCTGAGCCATCTCTCTAGCCCCCCAGTCCTTTTTTAAAAACAAGGTCTCCTGTATATGAGGCTGGCCTGAGACTCACTTTGTAGTTGAGGATGACCTTGAACTTCTGATTCTCCTGTCTCTGCCTCCCCCAGTGCTGGGATTACTGACGTGTAGCACTGTGCCCTGATGTTAAACTGCCAGTCTTAAATTAGTTGGCTACAGAGGGCCAGACTTTACTAAAACAAAGATTTAGGAGTTAGGATTTGGTGGATAAAGAAGGCCTTTCAAATGAAGAGAATGACAAGTGAGGTGGGGGCGAAGGCTTGCTGTGTAGTGAAAAGTTAGTGGACCAGATGACCTGGAATGCAGGGTTCATTTGGAAATGAGGGATTTAGTTTGAAATTTAAATTGAGGCTAGATTGTGAAGTATGTTTATTAGATGCTGTAGGAGATCAACATTTGGGAAGTTATGGGGGCGTGTGTGTGTGTGTGTGTGTGTGTGTGTGTGTTTGCATGCACGCACACAGCGATAGTTTAGTGTGCAGAATGATTTTTTTTTTGTGGCTAGCTGACTGTCAGTATCCTACTGTAAATACTGAGCAGAGTAATGGCAGTGGGTTGAGAACAAAGACTCAACGGGACCTAGCAACTGATCCAGTAGGCAGTTGGGGGAGGGCTCGATAGGTAAGGACTGCATAGAAGAGGTGGAAAATGAGTTAGACTTTGTAAGTGTGGGTGATGTTGATGGTGGTACTTTAACTGGGAAAATGGGCAAGGAGTTGTGTAATTAAATCCGTTTTGGATATTTTGAGGGTTCCTTTTTTTTTTTTTTTTTTTTTCTGAGACAGGTTAGCCTCAAATTCACAATCCTCCTGTCTTAGTCTCTCAAGGAGCTGGGATTCCAAGTCTGTGCTACCAGGCCTGGCGTGCAGACTTCCTAATATACTTACGTACTGAAAATGCCCAGCAGCTTTGGAAATGTAGATTAGAAGTTCAAGAGAGAGGTCAGAGCTAGACATATATTAATACGGATGTGGGGGAAATACAAATAGATTATTCAGGGGCTAGAGAGATGGCTCAGTGATTAAGAACACTGGTTGTTCTTGCCGAAGATCTGGGTTTGAATCCCAGCACCCACATGGCAGCTAACAACTGTCTGTAACTCCAGTTCCAGGGGATCTGACAGCCTCTTCTGTTCTCTGAAGGCATTGCATGACACAGGTGCACTTACCTGCATGCAAGCAATACATGAATACACATTAAATAAAAATAATACATTAAAAAATAGATTATTCAGATAGATTTCTAGTTGAATCTGTGAAAGGAGTCGAGAGAGTATAGAGGGGAAAGAAGAAAACCAAAGTAATGACAAAACCAATCCTGTGTTTTTAATGACATCTGTTTAGAACAAAAAGAAAAACTAGCAAGTAGACTTTTATGTACTGGGTAAGACATCTGATAGTATGTGTATAGCTTCCTAGTGCTACAGATTCAGATGGAATAGAAAAATATCTGTTCATTAAAAATCCAATTGAGGGACTGGTGAGATGGCTTAGTGGGTAAAGTTACTTGCTGCCAGGCGTGACAATCTGAGTTCAATCCTTGGGACCCTCATGGAGGAAGGAGAGAAACAGCTCTGTAAGTTGTCCTTTGAGCTCCACATTTGAACTGTGGTAAGTCCCTGGCCCCTTCCCCCAATCTCTCTTTGTCTCTCTCACATACACAATAAATTAATTAATTAAATAAATAAATAAATGTAATTTTTTATTTTTTTTCTTTTTGAAGCAGGGTCTCCCTGTAGCTCCAGCTGTCCTGGAATTCACTATGTAGACCAGGCTGGCCTTGAACTCACAGAGATCCGCCTGCCTCTGCCTCCCAAGTGATGGACTACAGGCGTGCGCCACCACGCACGGCAGATAAATGTAATTTTAAAAAATGCAAGAGGTGTGGCGGCACATGCCCTTAATCTCAGAACTTGGGAGGTGAGATCTCTGTGAGTTTGAGGCCATACATAGCAAATTCCAGG